ATCCTTACGTAGGAAGGAGTTAGTTACCGCTCCAGGTGTCATTGAGCCTGGATTTAAGATCACCGACCCCACAGTGGTAGTAGATCTGCGTCAGTCCTCCTGAGCTTTCTCATTTGCGGATTATCCGCATCCTCCGAGAAGAATCCTCTTTCGGAGGGAGCAGATTCAGGTCTGGGAATTGGCCTGAGCAACGTCAAATCAACAGACAGACTGCAGATACACAGATTCAGCAGTGACAAATCCTGGAGGTGATGTGGCTTGAGGCAAAAGGGCTTCTGAGTCAGAAAGCGGGAGGTCTGAATTCCAGCCCTGCCCCTTATGGACTGATGTTGCTGTGTCTCAGTATTTGCATCTGTAAACATGGGAGTAAGGTAAAGATAAATAAACTAAATGAGATAGTGTCTGGTAAAACGCCTGGCAGGCAAACATGGGAAGAAGAAATAAGTTCAAAGACCCACTGAATGAGGCTCCTCTCTGTGACCTCAGAAAGCAAATTCAAGCCAGACTGGTTTTAAAGCACAATGTTTATGGATGGCTTCACCCTTAATCCCCTGCAGAATCTTCCACAGGGAGACTTCGCTTGGAATGAAGGGCTCATTCAGATTATTGCTCAGTCCTTTCCCAGCTTGGCCTGAGCACCCTTGGTGACTTAGCAGAAGTTTCTAGAGACCTGTTCACCCCTGTTCTGCTTGCTCTGGGCATTTTGCTTACTTCTGCTATCAGTGATGCAGATCAGAGAGAGAGAGAGAATCCCCAAAGCAGCTAATGTGACAGCTGTCTGAAGAAAAACATAAATATTTGGACAAACATTTCTTGGTTCTCAGTGAGAATCACTAGCTAAGTTAGGTTTCTCCTTACATTTGACATTGGGTATTTTCAGAGGAAACTTACTCCCTTACCCTTTTTAATGGTACGGTGGGAAGAGTATATTTTTTAAGTGGAATGTATGTTTAAAGTTAGAGAAAATGAAAATCTCGAAGCCCCAACACAAACAGCGAAACCACAATTCAAACACTTTCCCTGAGACTGAAAGGCAGCCCTGAGCCCTAGATTAACTGAGCCCTGGTGAAAAGGGGGGAAAGCAGGATTCCTCGTGAATTGCCGATCGCCCCAAGGACAGAAGAAAGCAAACACATGGAATTAGCCACGGAGACTTTAAACCACCGTCTACTGGTCAAACACAAAGGCGCCTACTGGCAGGATAAAAAAAAACAACGAACCTATAAAAAGATATTTTAAAAATCACAGAAGGCAAACAGTGACATAGGAGAAAAGCCACATGATTGCAAGTCTTAAGCAAAATCAAAGCTTGACTTCAAATAAGTTTTACTCCAGAGGGAAATAAATACTACAGCATCTGCCTCCAATCCATTCTTGACTGGTTAGGATTAGCACATCCTACAGCAACTTCTCAGTATCGATTTCACAAAAGATAAGCATTCTACTATGAAGAAACCAAGAGAAATTATTTTCAAAACTACACCGGCGAGTCACAAACAAGTCTACCATCATTTCCTAACAATGAAATAGTATATGAAGCTCATCTTCAGAACAGGTAAGCTCATGCAACTTAATTGCTTACCTTGCAATTACCGACATTAAAACCCCACAAAATCAATTTAAGAATCCAGTGTTGCACGGAGCCTACATTTTGGTTAAAATGAAACAAAGATAACATCTGGTCACAAGATCTGCCTGAGCAGGAAATGGAGTGAGGATAAAATATTCCTGTTTAAGTCTGTACATATCTGGACAACTCCAAATCTCTGCAGAGGGAGCAAAATGGGATTCATTTCTCTGAACTTCTGCAGAATATGTTAGAGTTTCATTTTTGTACCACCTTAAGTGATTGTCTAGTTTCATAAATGTAAACCTTATCTTTTGCAGTAAAATATTAAGTTCTCAGAGTAGATCCAGGTTTCGCGGGGTCAGCATATGTAATTTGACGGATCCGCTCTAAGAAAAAGAATACAAAATTATGCCTATAAATTATGTAGAGGACATTGCAAGTGAGGGTCCCTGGAGGTTCAGTACCAGCAGCTGCACCGTAAACTCACCCCAAGGGTGAGGACCACCGAGCTTTCTATTTCTGCTTCCTCCAGACGGTGTATGCAGCCCTGGGTATTTTGCAGGCTTGTTGATTCTACTCACTTCAGAAGCAAAAGAAAATACACTAAGAGATTAAATTCAAGGCCATCCAAGCGGTTCAAGATAAACCTTAACTCCTCATTCATTTATATCTTAAATGATAGCTTGAATTCAATGTAATTTGAATTCATATTGATGCTGTTATTTAATGATTGTCATCCAGTTCATATTTTAAAAATCCAAAAATGTCTATGATAGGAAGAGAGAGGGAAGACTTTTTTAAATCATCAAAACAGGAGGTGGATGCACGCGAGTCACAGACTAAACACTCGAGTTCCGGTGTGCGGGGCCAGGGCTGTGAGGGGCGGCTGGGACTCGTGGGGGCGCTGCCACTGGCTGCGGCCACCTGTGGCCTCGAGCCGCGGAGCTACCGCAGGTGGAGGAGAGGTCGCCCATTCCAGAACAAACGTGGTGTGCGGACCTGTTTCCTCATACTGCCTGCCAACAGTCAGCACACTGCAGCCTTTTATAAATATGAAATAGCAAAGAGAAAATTCACAAGATTCTTCAGGTTCTATTTATAGGGGAGAGGTATTATACAAGCAAACAAACTGTGAAAGAAATGGCTCACTAATCCCAGAGGTTTACACTCCAGGCTTAATATTTTTAAGTACTGCTATGCAAAAATCTACAGAACTTCCTAAATCCAGAGTTTTCATAATCCGATCAATGGACGATAAAGGAGAGACATTTTCCTGTTCCTAAATACACAGAACATAGGATCCAAATGATTTCACTCTGAGGCATCCATGAGGAAAATATCTCAAGAAAAACCCACTGTTATTAATAATCTTATTCACACTGGAATAGAATTTGATTATTAAAAGGCCTTTCCTAAGACTGATAGCTATAACTGCAAAAAAAAATATTGACATGTCTTCCTAAAAAGAATATTAATAAAAAACTTTCAAACCCAAGGGACAAATTAGGAAAAATATTTCCAACACATGATATGCAAAAATACAATTTTGTTAACATACAAAGAGTTGTAATTTGATGACCAATAATTAGATAACAATAGTCCAAGATAAAATAAGGATATGAAAAGACAGTTCACGGAAAAATGCCCTGTAAGTATTTTAAAGAATTCTGAACCTCATTCATAAATGTTAAAAACATACGTTTACAAACAACGAGAGGTTTTCCAGAGGTCAGCTCATGCTGGAGGTGGTTCTGATGGCAGAGCGGGCGAGGGTGCAGGGAAAACGAGGGAAGAGGCGCCCTTCCCTGTGCCCAAGAGCACGGCTGCTGCAGCTTCCTCGGGGGCAATCTAACGATACCTTCCACATTTTAAAATGCTTACATAGTTTGACCTATCTCTCTTCTATGAAATTATCCTACAGAATTCTCAAACAGGTACTCAGAAGATATATATTCAAAGACATTGTTTGCAGCATCATTTAAAAATTTTAAAAACAAATTAAAAAAAATAGAGAGAGCTTAATGGTCTATCCATAGAATAATCAACTCAAAAAGTACTAGAAAGCCACTGAAAGGGATCTGGTAGATCTACCTACATGTGCTGACTTTGAAATAACAGTAGTTTATGTTTCTTGAGCTTTTAAAATGCCAGCCACTGTTCTAATAAGCCCTTTACACATGTTAATCCCACTGATGAATAAAAAAATCTCCAAGATACACAGATTAGTAAAAAAAATTACAGAACAGACTGTGTACTATGATTCTATTTACATCACATTTAAGTATATACTCTATATGTAATAAACAGCACACATATGATATACAAAGCTGCATATACGTATATGTACATATGCCCAGAAATACCTGGAAGAATACAAAAGGCGTGGCGTGTGGTGATTACTGAGGGGCTGTGGGACTGGAAGCTGGGGCTTGTGGAAAAGGAACTTTTCCCCCAATATCTGCTGTCTGCCTAATTAGATTATAGGCTGTTTAATTTTTTTTTTCTTTCTACCTCTGTATATTTTTTAAACCTAAGGAAAGTTATTTGGGAAAAGGTAGCCATCTGAGAAAACATTCATGTTTCTTTTTACACCCTCCTATAGTATAAGAATTTTTAACATGAAGGCATATTACTGTCAATTCTTTTTTTAAAATCTCATTAAAAATCAGTATTCAACAACTCCAGCAAAAACATCCTATCTCATTTCCTTTCTTTTACAGGAAACCCCAGAATATAAGGATCTGGATGAGAACTCTCATGATTCTGAAACAATTGTCTGGCTTATTTTTTTAAAGACAAAGTTTAATTATAAATAAAACAAAAATACAGAGGGAACTATAACTATGGGCATGTGAATTATAGCACTCACTGCTGTACTACATGTAATGTGGGACTTAACAACACAGGCCAAAGATCATGTTTATGTGCATATCCATAAAGCAGCCGATTCACGGTGAATTCTGGTAGTTACTATTATCACCATTTTTACAGCCCCCAATCACTCGCTGCTTCCTATGGATTTAACACCTAGCTCCATGCTTAACACATATTAGCATGTTTCCTTCTCACAGCAACCCAATAAGACTTCTGGTTAATTATTTCCTGGAGTTATATAAAATTATAAAACCATGGATAAAATTTGAGGGTGGCAAACAGTAACTGAAATCTTAAACAACTGAGCCTACATTTATGTTGTGCATAAGTATTCCTAACTTTTTTATAGATTTTTTTTTTATGAGCCATCTTTATCTGAAATAGACCATCCAATGGCTCCTGAATGATCTCCATGCCATTTGTCCCACTCCTTCCACTTAATTCTTCCTCCTCCATGTTTCTCAACACACCTGGCGCAGGTAATTCAGAACTTCATCCCTCACTCTGCAAACAGCCTTACATTTCTGTCACCTCTCACCCGCCTTTAGATTCTTACCTGTCCAGCAGTAGTCCCAATACTTCTTTAGTGGAGGCAAAGCCTCTGTACGTCGACAGGAAGATGCTGATATAGGTAAAGTCATTGTCCCCGAAAGCTGTCAGCAGGTTCTCCACAAGCTTCTCCAAGGTACCAGCTTTGATGGTCCTGATCTTACAGGTCTCATACTGACTGACCGTATGTCCTGGCGGGAGCTGGTCCCCTTCAACCTGTACAATAAACGCATAATTATGACCAGGAGAAATGACTCGCTAAAGTACAACTGAAAACACTGAAATTGCTGAATCAGAGCCTGTCATGTTCTCCCTTGTCCTTAGCTAGTGTTGTGACAAGCCGTGTAATACCATCCTTCACCTGTGATTGGAGGAGAGTAGAGTGGCGGGGGGTGGGGGGGGCCTCTTCCTGTCTAGAAGGACAGGTTTTCCTCTTCATGGTTACATTTGTTTTTTCTATTCAGTATCCTATCAAGAACTAGGTTGCTGGCACATTTTATCAAGGATGTTTTCTATGACCCCCAGATGGAGTTTAGCAAATGTTATCAATCATTTCCTTTGTATTGTTCCATGGTAAATTTTCAAACTCATCTTTTTTTTTTTAATTGCAGTTTGCATTCAATATTATTTTGTATTAGTTTCAGGTGTGCCCACTGTTCCCTCCCACATTTCAAGTGCTGCCTGGCACCACACAGTTATTACAATCTCATTACCTATATTCCCTACGCTTTCCCTTAAATCCCCACGCCTGTTTTCTAACTACCAGTTGGCACTTCTTAATCCCCTCATCTCATTTCACCCAGCCTCAAACATGCCTCCACTCTGGCCTCTGTCAGTGTGTTCTCCGTATCTGTAAGTCTGTTCAAACTCATTCTTAAAGACTGCTCCTAGAGCGCTGTGCTGGAGAGGACTCACGCGGGCTTCGGACAGCTGATTGCTAGATTTTTATGATTTCTGTGAACCCTCTGACAACATCTTGATCTCTTGAGAAATCAACCATGACAGGCATATGTTCGCCCTGGAAATCTATGGAGATCTGACCATGCTCTGATGTTCTTCAGACCATGGAAGACAATATGCTGTCTTATTTAATAGCATCAGCAATCAACACAGTTGACTGAAAAGCGGCGGCACCAAGCAGCCCTGCGCTGATCTCTGGGGGGTAAGGGAAAGGGCCGCGGCTGGGCTCGTGGCTTCTTCCTTCTGGAGACTTGCAACGTACAAGAAGACATTTGTTCAAGAGAAGCAGCTGTCACATGAAAATGAGACTGTGAATCATACTGGTAGGTACAACTGCACCTTGGAGGCATAACATAATACTTAAGAAGGGATTAGTGATAAAATCTGTAAAGCTTAAAGACTGCGTATGAAGGGGGAGAATTAGATGGAAGAAAAATATGGGTTTGTCCTGCATTCTGCAATTAATCTGTGCTTATCAAATTATATAGAGATGCAGTATTCAAAGCTTAACTTGTCCCTCACAGATGCTAGGGAAGATGGCCCACCCAGAGAATCTTTTTCTAAAGCAAATAATCATTCCAAGTGATGTGAAGAATCACCAGGCAATTTCTCTGAGTTGTAAGTTTGAATTGTTTTAGATCAAATTCTTCTAAATTGAAATAGTCAGACCTGAGGGATGGAGAAGAGCGAACAGAATCTCTAAGTGATGCCCTGCGCCTGCTAAGTGGCGTGCTTGCTTTCTCCTCACCTGGCCAGGAGGCTAAGCACTGGATGGAGCCACAGGCGACACTGCCTTCTGCAAAACCAAAGCGGTGGCAACCGCCACGAGAAGGGTGTGACACCAGCCTACCGTCACCAGGTCTAATGGCTAATGGGGATTAATATGAACCCACCGGCATGTGCCGGATGACTCCATGTCTTTACTTAATTTTGGAAGATGCTTTTAGTTTACTAAAAAGAGGGCTCTGATTCAGGCAAAACGCCCATTTTCTTTAGGCCCACTGACTCAGGTCGCGGCCAGAGACCGCTCCTTACCGCTCTGTGCGCAGTTTCGGAACAGGGCTAATGGGACCCATCTGTCTCCCAGGGGCCTCAATTAACTTCAACCAGAAACAATAAATGAAAAAGATATATTGTTTTAAAGCCTAATTACATTGTTAACGACCTGGTACAGGGCCACCCTAAGGGTGTGCTGTAAAACACTAGTTCCAAATCAGAAGGTGCGGCGGTCCACTTTGGGAACTGCAGAGTTAAAGTCAGATACGTGACTTGACTTTAGAATTTCTTGAAGTCTTTAGTATGCCAACAGGTTATGAAACTCCAGGAGAAGGGTTTGATATATGACATTTGCAAATTAATTTCCCTTCATTCACACAGCGTCTTGCATACCATTAGAATGAACAGTCTGGAAAATGTTAATTTTTATCTTTTAACATCTATATTTCTTTGACCTCTTTCTTAATACCAGAATTTAGGGATGTTTTGTGTGTTTTACTTTGTCATTTCAAACGGCCTGCTCAAAGTACTTATTAGCCTGATAATATTAAAAAGTGGTAGTCAAAGAATATACTTCAAGGTCAAACATTAACAACAAAGGATTGGCTTCTCGCAGGAATAGTCAGGCTTCAGTTTTCTAAATCAAGCTTCCTTACCTTAGACAACATCAGGGCTCCCTTACCGAACGGTTTTGTAAATGGATGATTCTTATTCTACTCACAATGCAAATTCCAATTTAAAACTAAATCTTATTGAAAGTAATAACTATTTAAAAGAGCTAATTTTTCACTGAGCATTGATGCAGCCAAAAATTCACACACAGAGAAAAATGCTTGTCAAAACCCTGATGAAGTGGGTCCCTTTTCCTGCCAGAAGGCAGGTTTGGCAGGAAGCCGCCTCCCTCGGGGATGGAACCCTGTCACTGGTCAGCCCCATGGCTTCCTCTCAGTCCACCTTTTCCTCTGGAAAAAATCTCAGTGTGCGTGCTTGGCCCCCATTAAGTCCCTCTGATGGTTTTCGTTCCTCAGTGTTTGCATCTGTAAATTAGGAAGAACCAGGTTTGAGCTAACAGTATGGCTGATAAAAAGCTTTGAATATTTTGATTTAAAAAATCCTTCCCTGAGGGCAGTGAGGGGACATCAATGACAATATCATGAAATGAAGCGCAGGAATTGCTCTGGTGCCTAAGATCACTCTCCCCAAAATTACCAACGCGTGCTAAGGTGTCAGGGCACCCGCCCAGGGTCACGTTCTGCACATCTGCTAAGCGCCCTAATGTTCATTTGCTACAGCGGCGGGAGGAGCAGGTTTTGAAGATGGGTCCTACTTTACCAACTTTCAAGTAGAGTACATTTGCATAATGCAAAAGAAAAATAAAAGTGATCTGCCCATTTCTAGAATTATTTTGAAATAAAATTACACAAAAGAGAAATACAAAAAAATATACTCTGGCTGGAGAAACTAAAATTTTGGTTTCATTTTTGCAGCAAAATATTCAAAGGCCATACAACGCTTTAAAGAGTCTTTAGGGTCTTTTTGTTTGTAATATCTCACTACCTCTGAATTCTAGCTTAAAAGAGAAGTGGGGTGGGGTGGGGTGCGGAGGGGTGGGGGGAGGCGGGCGGAGAGCCTTGCAGACAAGTGTTTAATAACCCAGACTTCGAGGCAAGACAAGGAGGGCGGGGCCGCCCTCCGGGTGAGCACACTAACAGGAAACAGCTCAATCTGGATTTAATCAGAGACCATCGCTTTACTGACAAGATCATGATACTGAGGCCACAAAAATGTTTCATGACTTTTTTTGGCCAATCTTTCGGCCATTATAATTCAGCTTTCCCTAAGAGAATACCTCTGACTCCTAAGGGGTAAATGTCTAAAACTCTGTCCAAGGGCCCTAGCCACGGAATGTTCATCACTGTCGATTTTGGCATGAGGGGGACAAGAGAAAGAAAATGTGAGAGACGAAATGCACCACATTTCAATTCTGTTCCCAGTCATCATCTACAACGTAAACTCTTAACAAGTTGGGCATTTTTAATTGAAAAAGGAAAAGGTCCTTCAATCAAAATAATACACAATCATCTGAGGCTTTAACAGGGGGAGTGCTAAATAAACAATCTCATCAGCCTGCAGACAGTATGAAGCCCTTCTCCAAGACAAGCTCAGTCTTCAGTCCATCAGCGCTCAGGCATCCTAGCCTGAGCGGGAAAGCAAATAGTGAGTACTACTCCAGTCATAACACTCTAAGAAAAGTCTAAAACCCATATTCAAGGTTTTACAGACTTTAAGAAGGTACAGATTGCTATCTCTACATTCATCTCAGAACACAAAGGTGCATTTTATACTCCCTCTTCAAATGCCCTACAACAAACAGCAAGGAACCACATTCAGTATAGGAAATACTATGTGGTGACTCACACATAAGCCCTGCTCAGCTGTGCACAGCACACATTTATGTGTAGAATAATGCTCTGGCCCTGCAAAGAAGCAATACATGTACGTAATGGCATGCAGCAAAGCCAGCGCAGCTGAATCCAGTGAGATGTTTCCTCAGAGACAATCAGAGATGTGAGGCACAGCCTATACAAAGCCTTATGGCATGGAATACCAAGCTCCGTGTGAGCTTCTGCATTGTGTGAACCTTTCCTTTGGGTGTGAACTCACTTTTTTGCTAGGTTAGGTCTGCGAGGAGGCCCAGGTAAACCATAATTTCAGGTCAAACATGAATAACTGAATAATTTAGGGGCATTAGTATGTCCCGCACAGTATTTAGGACCCATTCAGGCTGAAAAATTATTTAGTGTTTTTCTGAATTTCAAATTTAACTTCCTGAATTTCTGTTTGTAAGTCTGGCAACCCTATGCGAAGCTCATGTGAAGGGTAGAGAGTAGACCTCTCATTTATTTATTCATCTCCTTATTCAGCCACACGTTGGCTCAGCGGTACTTTGTGCTGGGCGCTGAGTAAGGCGGTACAGATATAAAGGTAAACGGAATGCAGTTTTGACACTGAAGTCGTTCAGTATGGTGGAGGAAAAAGACAGGAAGAAACCATTAAAATGCCATGTGAGTAAAATGGCCGAGAGAGGCAGATACCATGGAAGGACCCAGAGGGACCCAGTATAGAGGCTGCAACAGAAAAGGCTTCCTGAGAAGGGGAGGCTTGCGTTGGATGTTAAATCAGGAGCGGGAGCTAACAACGTTGGGAGGGCGTAGCAGGCAGGGAGACCAGCACAAAAGCATGAAGAGGAAAAGAGGTGT